TCTCTCTCTCTCTCTCTCTCTCTCTCTCTCTCTCTCTCTCTCTCTCTCTCCCCTCCGTGTGTGTGTGTTTTGTGGCATCGTGTGGCATTGTGCTTAACCAGAGAACCGCCGAAGCAGAAGCTCATTGCCAAGAACGGCAAACTGGTGGTGGTTGAGGTATGCTAAGTGTCTGGCATCTGGAATGTCAGAGTTGCAAGGGTTCATAGAATGTCAGTAAAGCAAGAGATCAAGTGCATGCCTTTGGTTGACAAGTCACTGAGCTTTGAATTTCACCTCCTTGCAGTTTCCGATAACAATCCCCTCATAAAAGGAGTAGGGACTCGAGCTAGCCTCGGATCCAGGTGTGTGCGCCCTGGCTGACTGATCGTCCTCGATATTCCGGTCTGTCCTCACAACTTTCCCGGGAGGTTACTTCCGGTAGCCACAGGGTAGGCACGACTTGGTCCTCTCAAATCTCGCCCTGTTCCAACGCACGCAAATCGAACAAACTTCTACTCCCTGTACCGCCAGCCCTGATTCTAATCCCGGTTTTGGTCCACCTGGTTCTAACCCCACTGGTACTACTTTTCGTGACATCATGGTATACTCAGGGTTTGGCAAGCTCTTATTTGGAAGGTTGCAACTTTTTAAACCACCAGTACCTCACCCAGCCTCAGCAGCCTGCAAAACTCATCGCGGCCGTTAACGCGCCGCGACTTTCGGGGGCCCACGGCCGTTGAGATTTCGCATCGACGGTCTTCGGCACGGCGCGGGCCCCCGAAAGTTGCGGTGAGGGGCCCGCGGCCGATATATGGCCAAGGTACTGGTGGTTTAACTGCAGCAGTTTCTACACCTGCTAATAGCATGGCTCACTCTCTTTTACTTTTGTGGGGACCAGAAGCACAAGGCGACTTCACTCGCTGGTGTCAATTAGGAGGTCTCTGGTTCTAGTTCTGGTTCTGGTCTGAAGCATGCGAATAGCGCCAAGTTTTTGTACCTGCATTGAGCCTCACTGCTCGTCACCTTGAGAGCACACACACACACATTGAGAGATCATGCGACATCCACACTGTAGACCAGAGACGCGATGAATCCAGAATAGCGCAGCTTAGAGATTCCAACAAATTATCATACTAGATAGTTCCGGAGTTCCAGTCATCAAGCGCTCATCAGCACAGCGTTCAGCAACCCAAAATCCAGCGTTCTCATCCAAGGTAGGTGACTCTCTCTCTCTCTCTCTCTCTCTCTCTCTCTCTCTCTCTCTCTCTCTCTCTCTCTCTCTCTCTCTCTCTCTC